GTGTGTGTGTGTGTGTGTGTGTGTGTGTGTGTGTGTGTGTGTGTGTGTGTGTGTGTGTGTGTGTGTGTGTGTGTGTGTGTGTGTGTGTGTGTAGTATAATAATAATATATATATATATATATATATATATATATATATATATATATATATATATATACCAGTTCAGTTGCAAAAACGCGATTCGCGCGTACATCGCCGAGTACTTCGGAATGATGTGTTTCCTGTTCATTGACGTAGGAACAGCTTGTAGCTCAGACTATGGTGTACAGACATACGCTCATGACGAACACTATGTGAAGTTCGCTCCCAATATGTCGATGGTTCTTAATGTTGCCTTTGCATTTGGTTTGGCAAACATGGTACTTGTATACGGTACCGCTCACATCTCTGGAGGTCACCTGAATCCCGCTGTCACCCTAAGCATGATCATCTTTCGCGAGATCGACCCCATCCGTGGTGTGCTATACATTGTCTCTAAGGTACTTGGTGCCACGTTTGGTGTGTTCCTAGTTAGTTCCCTGTGTCCTTCAGAGATCACTGCCACTGTTGGACTTGGTGCCAATGCTGTGATTCCTGCGGTGTCGACCCTTCAGGCTTTCTTTCTCGAGTTCTTTGGAACAGCGTTGTTATGCTTCGCCGTTTTCAACACCGCTGTCGACCCTCGAGGTGCCGGATTTGTAATAAGCCGGGCCTCCACATTAGACTCTATGTATAAACGTACTCTTAAGCGGTACGCATATTATAAACGTACTCTTAATAGTACGAGGAACTAAAGTTTCCTAAATGTACTCTTAATAGTACGAGGTACTTAAGTCTCCTAAATGTGCTCTTAATACCACGAGGAACTTAAGTTTCCTAAAATGGTTTTTACTGGTTTTATTAATTACACCTTTTCCATTTAATATATCAGATATTTGGATGAGGCCATTAAAAGGCCTCAGTAAAATACCAAACATAAAAGAGTTGACCTAGTTCTATTAATAGAGCTTTATTTACTTTACAATTTTATTTATATCTGAATACTTCGGTAGCGAGATGGCTCAACCGAATATAGGTTTCTAGGGACTATTAACGTTACCTAGTTGATCCTCTGATAAGCCAACCAGATGTGCCTGTCTGATGAAGGCTAAGTCGGTAATTCTTGATAGTGGCAAGTTATTGGTTAAAACAATAACTAAAGACGTCAAGAGTATTTTTATTTTTATTTATTTTTTCTAAAGATAGGATTTCATGAGTCTATCAGATTCGCCCCAGAATAGAGTGACAACGAAACACTAAATAAAATCCCTTCGGCGGAAACAGTACTGAGAGGATTATATATAGGCAATGTCTCAGCCTCACAATCCCTCAGAGTATTGCTGTTTTCACGAGGCAAACCTGACTCTATTAAACGTCTCATTTCGTTTATTTATATCGATATTTACATGATATATAGAATTCACCTACGCGTTTATTTATTCTAAGGCATTAGTATCGCCTTTATTAGACCGAATCTTACACATTTTAAAGTTAGCAAAGCTATTAATTACTTAGACTACTTAAGCGTAAAGGTAAGGTAACTACCACAACAACAACAAAAATTCTCTTGTCTAAGCTAGTCGTTAAGAGACAAGCTAGTAGTCATAAGTTAAGATTATGACCAAGAAAGACAACACTCCTTCTAAGAAGCGTAGAGTTGAAAAGAAGAAGATCGAAAGAGAAGTCGCTAACGCTGCCGCAGCTATTACTGCTGCGTAAGCAACCGACGTCGCTGCTGATGCATTTAAGCGCACTGTAGCCAAAGCACTTTCCTCTGACAATTATAGTCAAAAGAACAATGCTTCAGATAAGGAAGTAGCCACTCCGCTTAAGGAGACTACTCCTTCTGACAGAGCCCGAGGGCCAACTATAGCCTCCACTTTAAAGCTTGCATCAACGAAGCCAGGAAGTGAGACAAGGGGTACGTCGCAAGACGCCCCAGCCCATTCTTCTGACGAAAATCAGAAAGGAAAGTCCCCAATTATGAGGGCGTCCCCAATTATAGGGGACAAGGACAAATCTCAGAAGGAATCTATTATGGAACCAGAAGAGGAGGCAAGCTCAAGTAGCAAAACCGAATCTACGTCCGAGACTTCTAAGCCGGAGCACATAAGTAAGTTAACTACTAAATACGCTGATCTTAAGAATCAGTTAGCTACCATTATGAAAGACTTGACTGTCGAGCATGTAGATCAATTATAAAAACCAGGAAAACGTACACAGCGCTTACGCGAGCATGTTTCCCCGGGTATTACTGAAGCCCTACAGAAGTGGACAGAACGTTCCCAAAGACTCAAGCTCGACACCTGAGTCATATGATCCAGAGATGCACAGCGTCGATATACCGTACGAGGCATTACTGCCAGAAGAACCAGCTAATCATTCGCCTGTTCTGACACCTGGTCGTGAGTCACCTGTCCTCAAAGGTATTATAGACCGAGAGGTAAGGAAATATACTCCGCCACTTGTACCCAATAAGACTAGGTATGTTATTCCGACGCCAAGGGATATTAATCATCCCCGCAGACGTGTGAACGATGTCGATTTTAGTCGCTTCGACCGCACGGCTTTACACCAACCCGCAGAGGATTTCCACTCTGACGAGGTGACCGACCTTAATAAATCGGTCGACGACTATACCAATAAAATGGAAGTCGCCAAAGCTGCGCATCATGCTAAGGACGTAGCATACTATGCGAATATTATTGCGATTAAGCAAAAGCGCATAGACCAATTACTTCAGGCCCAACGTGAACAAGACCACAGGGACAACCAGAAGTACATAGGACAGATCAGTCGAATTAAGTCGAACTGGGATGCCAACAGCAAGCAGGTCGAAAACCCTTGTACGCTTAATGCGTTTACGGTCATGCTGGAGACGAATGATATCGCTCCCCAGCAATGGATCTCTGCCTTAATGCAGACATTTGACCCTACAGGTACCAGTTATCTGATCCTGCAGCGACACCAGCATAAGCTAGCCACTTGTCGTGACTGGCCAGCTGTGTGTTAGTTGGTCACATCCTTGTTAAGTAAGGATATGCGTAGCCCT